AATACCCATTTATTCCCCTGGGTTAAGAGAGACACTGTGATAGAAAAAAAGGAACACAACACAACACATTGACCTGGCCGCAACCCAGACCTCTCAACCCCAAGTCCAGTGTTCTTACCAATAGGCCACTACATTATTATCCACAGGTCCCCCCTGGGGAGCTATCTAATTTTATTTGGCTTCCAGACAAGGGCCTTCAACGATACTAAATGACTGCCAAAATGCAAGTCAATATTTTCATTCTGAATTGTTTGTTCAAAATGGAAACTACAGTAAACTGTAATACATGTTTTAAAGTGCAATGTTCACCACAGAGACTCTGATCTCAACAAGGCTAATGCCTGTTACTACTATACTAAGTTCTTCCATTTTTGGCCACTTAAGCTCTATAGCAATTTTCAGGTATTTTATATAATAAAATTAATTGCAAACTACACTGTACCCAGATTTATCAGGAGCTGACTCTGTTACATAAACATTAAAGCGCTTCTTCTGTTCAGTAGCCACTTTCAAAATTTCCAGCACAACTCTGGATCGGGAGTGAGTAAGAATTGTCTGAAAAAATTTAAAGACCATGCAATCACACACTTTGAATAAAATCACTGAAAAGAAAACCAACTTTACCGTTTGGAGCCTCAGTGAAGAGTGGAGACATTGAATCAGTAACTTGCTGACCTGGCTGAAAGTTATGCATCTCAGAAAAAATATGATAGATAGCAAAAAATAATCCAAATGTTGTTTTGTTATTGTCAACATAAATTAGTACAACATGGTGCTTACTGCTCCATCTTTAATGAATGCATCACAAAGTTTGGCAATTCTATTCCTGGCTGAGGCAGCTCTTTTCAGGTACAGCTGACCTGGTTAGAAGAAAAAAAAATCAAACTAATCCACACTGTGGTAAATGATGCAAATGCATTGTTAAGTTAAAAAAAAAAAAAAAAAAAAACATTGAAGACCAGGGAAGGAATATCCCTTCTTATTTATGAGACATCACCTCTTTCAACCAGAACTCTTTTACATTCTTGAAAATCCTTATGAGGAAAAAAAAAGAGAACAAAATCACCTAAGTATAAGGACACTCTAAAAAGGGGAATTTTTTTTCCCATAAAACACAAGAAAGCAGGAGTTTTCAAAGTACAATATTGCAACATTCTCACCATTTTAAATTTATAACTATATGAAAAAAAGATGGTTTGAAAAAATATTGCATCCATAAATAGACCAGTTCATCACTTATCAAGGTTCCAGTTTTTTACTGTCGCCATAACCCTTCCTTCCTACCCGGCAAACTGGCATTTTTTGTCAGATTTTCCTGACTATTTGTTTTTCCAAGCCCCCACTAAATTCTCCAATACAAATTCTGATGTACCAACATTCACTCAATCATCCCGTCAGATCACCCCTCCTAGAAGACAGTGTCACTGACAAAGAAAAATCACCGACTGATTTAGGAGAAATCTCCAATCGCAGAACAAGCTGCCATTAAAATTAATGAAAATGTCTTGTATCAGGTAGATTTCTTTGAGAAACTGGGAAACAATAGCTGTAAACAAATAAAAGCAAAAGTGATGCTTGTATTTCCTGGAAGGTGTCATTTTAAATTGTATGATTATCATAGTAAACAGTTGTCACTGTGATCATCAGACAGTAGCTCTTCAGTTTGCATGGGTTCCCATAGGTTCATGCAGATACCAGTGGCAACCATAACATATCATACATTCAACAAGGTGACACACACAGAATTTCAGTTTGAAAACAGGTGATAACTGTTTTAGTTTTTTCTTGCACT